TATCTTATTGTTTGATGCAACTAAGAAAACAAACTTGAAATTATCTTGCATAACAATGCCTAAATAACTATACTACTAATATTGTTTGTCTGCCTATTTATCTATTAATCAATGAAATTAACTTTTATTTTAGTAAACAACCTAATAGTTCATTTACAAAATACTGTTGAATGACGTTATCGATTTATTTAGATAAAACAATGAGTTTCCAAAAGAAATTAGTTGGTTATTTGTAATACCATCAATTAAAGTTTATTTTATGAATAAATTAAAAAAAAAACAATACAACTTGTTAATGAAACATTTATTTCAGTTACCATTCATAACATGTTGAACTAAACCGCATTCGGTTAATCACACTTCTTTATTAACTAGTAGAAGCAGAGGCATATTTTTTACCCATCTATTTTAAATCTATAAAATACCCAGAGTTTCATTGTACCACTGAAGTTGTAGTACAACTGGGAATCTATTAGACAACCAAGTAAGTGGAGTAGAGATCACTATTTTTTCCTAATTTCTTAATTATTTTTGCAATTTATGGTATGGAACATGAGTTTTTTGTTAAATATGGTTTTTATAATTTATCAATCTATTCGATTAATACACAATGTTTGAAATAACAGTTACTAAATACTATGACTTATGACCCATTAAGCATCACGTGAAGAAATTGCCAATCAGAATACTGACTTATATGACCTTATCCCTGTGTTAAATAAATGATATGTTAACCAGCACGAGGAGTCTAGAGTCAACTGTTAGTCTTTAGTGATCCTTCGTATAGTAGCTTCATGCCTAACCCAAGAACACAAATATCAGCCTCCACTAAATGAATCGTATTTTTCAGACATAAATGGTTTATTCACATGCAGACAAGACCGCATCACACCATAAAATGGAAAATAATAATTATACAAGATCAAGCCAAAAGTCATGTGTATAGGAGACTGTAACTAATAGATTGGGAAAAACTTAAGAATGGTAGATCGTATAATAGTAGTCAATAGGTCAAATGCAAGCTTATGATAAAAGGAATGTGAAAATACATATAATCTAGTTACTTAATAGCAATTAACTAGGAATATATGTAATAATAGTCCATAAATGATCCCTAGCAGTTATCATTCATTTATTCTTCGTTTGAATGTAACCCTAAATTACTGTCATACCGATAACACCATTACTTACTGAAATGTAGATGGATCAATCTGGTCTATCATATTTGGAACGTAACACACCACTGATTACACTGCAAAACGATACCAAAAGGATAGAAATCTCTATTTGATCACTAATAAAATAACTTTATTTTCAATATATTTTACCGTTCATAAGAGAAACTTTTTGAGTATTTGATAAAGGGGTTTTGTGGAGATCTCAATATTTTCGTAGTTGAAATCATGAGTCGATTGAAGCCAGACCACCATGGAAAACCTGGAAGCATTGGACGAGCGTTTCGTCCTATTTTGTGGCTCCTCAGCAGTGCACAACCACGATCCCGCCTCGCGAGATTTGAGTTCTAGTGGGAAGCAGTGACCAGTGGAGTTCAAACCACGTCTGTTGTAGAGATATCAACTCACTAAAGACAGTTGGTGAACGGTTGCTCAGATTTCGTGGATTGGTTGAAGTTAGACATTAACACCGTCGGATACCGGTTCAGTGGTCGATCGGTTAAGTGCTCTGGTGCGAGACTGGTAGGTGCTGGGTTCGAATCTCGTGAGGCGGAATCGTGGGTGCGTACTGCTGAAGAGTCCCATGATAGGACGGAACGGCCGTCCAGTGCCTTCAAGTTTTCGATGGTGGTCTAGCTTCAATTGACTCATGATTTCAACTATGAAAATATTTAATAAACCATGACAAAGCAAATACAAAAAAATTCAGTTTTATTAGTATAGTTTTGATTCTTTGCTAAATGAATACGAAATAAAGATGCTATAAATGTATGCGAATTTCAAACACTAGTTTCATTAATTATCTTCATCTGATATCATTTTATGATGATAACAGATTCTACCCGAAGTTTGCGCTGATGATGTCGTTCAGAAGGACGATGAAAGCTCCACGATCAAACCATTCAGCTCAGAGAACAAAAAACCATCATAAATTGAAAATATTTGGTTCATTTTTGATATTGTTACATCACTTACTATTCTACTAAAATTATGAATAGAAATTAATTTTGTTAGCAGAAATTATTGTTCTAAGATGACTAATAGATGACAGATGATTGAAATCAATTGTTTGTTGTAAAGTTCACATATATATATATTAAAAAAAGCACAACTTGTGGCAAATATATATATACTTCTTGTCAAACTTAAATGTTTCTATTTTAACCGTAGATTATTTTAATTGTTACAAAATCAATACATTGATTATTAAAAATGATTGGTACCGAGTATCTATATAATTAACCAATAATAATAGTAACAAGTTACTGTGGGAGACAACAAACCAGATTCCAGAAGAGGAAGAAATCAGGAAGAAGCGTTGGAAGTGGATTGAGCACACCGTGAGGAAATCACCTAATTGCGTCACAAGACAAGCACTCACATGGAATCCTGAAGGTCAAAGGAGAAGAGGAAGACCAAAGAACACATTACACAGAGAAATAGAGACAGACATGAGAAGAATGAACAAGAACTGGATAGAATTAGAAAAGAAGGCCCAGGACATAGTGGATTGGAGAATGCTGGTCGGCGTCCTATGCTCCATTGGGAGTAACAGGCGTAAGTAAGTAAGTACTCTTATGTAATCACATAATAATACACTTAAAAAGTTCATTAACACCAATAAAGTCAATGGATTATACAAGAGTTTAAATTAGCTAACATTGTAAGTTGTAGTCATCGATAATACTTAATTACTTACGCCTGTTACTCCCAATGGAGCATAGGCCGCCGACCAGCATTCTTCAACCTACTCTATCCTGGGACTTCCTTTCTAATTCTATCCAATTTTTGTTCATTCTTCTCATGTCTGTCTCCATTTCTCTGTGTAATATGTTCTTTGGTCTTCCACTCTCCCTCTGACCTTCAGGATTCCATGTGAGTGCTTGTCTTGTGACGCAGTTGGATGCTCTCGTCAACGTATGTCCTATCCACCTCCAACGCTTCTTCCTGATTTCTTCCTCCACCGGATTGAATCTAGTTTGTTCTCTCCCACAATAACATGTTGCTGATAGTGTCTGGTCAACAGATCCGAAGTATCTTGCGTAGATAACTGTTAATAAACACTTGTATCTTCTGGATAATGGCTTTCGTATTTCTCCACGTCTCCGCCCCATACAGTAGAACTGTCTTCATATTTGTATTGAAAATTCTAACTTTGGTGTTGGTTGACAATTATTTTGAGCTCCAAATGTTTTTCAGTTGTAAATATGCTACTCTTGCTTTGCCGATCCTCGCCCTCACATCTGCATCTGATCCACCGTGTTCATCAATGATGCTGCCCAGATATGTGAAGGTTTTCACATCCTCCTAAGCTTCTCTGTCAAGTATAATTCGATTGGTGCATGCTGTATTGTATCGGATAATCTTGCTTTTCCGTTTGTTTATACTGAGACCTACTGCTACTGAGGCTGCTGCTACACTGGTCGTCTTCTCCTGCATTTGTTGTTGCGTGTGTGATAGAGGAGCCAGATCATCTGCGAAGTCTAAATCATCCATCTGCATCCTAGCTGTCCATGGTATCAATAATATAATAATGGTATTATACTTATTATACTTTGTAACTACAGCTACTGTTACTACCACTGTTTCAATGAGTAAAAAGCTATATTGTTAAAATATGATAGAGGAAAGTGAATAATAAACAGTACGTAATCGGGAAAGATTGAGGAGAATATTTTTTTCTCTTCATGATATATTCACTTTATCATCCAAATGTAAATTCACAACTAATAAATGTTTAAATTCATTCAGTATTGTTTGTTTGAATTTTCCCATCGATGCATTAGGACTGCGACTGGTCAGTCTCTAATTGGCATATGTGCATACTGTACGTATAAAAATGAATTTAAACTTCACCCCATCGCACAAGCAAGTGACTATCAGGACTCAGTGGCTGAGTGGATAATGCGATGGCGTTTGAAGCGAAAGATACTGGGTTCAAGTACCAGAAAAAAAATTGTCGCTCTGGTTGTAAGAAGGTGCATCGTCCTCATGACTTCCGAAGGAACTCGGCTTTCATCATCAGACGTCATAATTATTCCTTCTACTCCCAGGGCAGAGTTTGAATGGTTTGAATGATTTTTTCTGGTTAGCGTTTTTTAGCGAGTTGATTTTCTACGGGATGGGGTCGCTAACCCCATGCCCAACCCTCCTCCTTTACCTGGGCTTGGGACCGGCAGTAACCCCCAGAGGATCTACAGGCGGAGTTTTCAAGTACCAGAGTGAACATCAACTCTGAAATGCAGATACATCCAGCTGACGAGTCCCACATAGAACGAAACACGCATCCTGGATTCTATTGCTAGCCACTAACCATCTTTACTTACCACAATAAATGTTTATTAACTAAAAATCTAATGATAATATTATAATAAGACGATAAAGGACCCATATTTCCTGAAACATAAAAACATATTAAATAAGGAAATAATGGTAATTATTCATTTGTATAATTAAAAACGTCAAGTTCATCATAAGTAATAATAAATGTGTTTATGAATGATCAATCAATAATAAGTTAAAACGAGTAATATATTTGTGACTATTTTATTGATCGATACAACACACACATTTTTTGGATATAAATAATACCATTATTGAAAACGTTCATTTCTTTTTTTTTTGAGTTAACAACCATCAGTTATAGGTCTAAAATATGAACTTAATATAAATTCAGCAATCAAATTACAAATAATTCTTATTGAACATTGATCGGTTCTTTTATTTGTTACCAGGTTAGAATATAAAAATTTGAGTAGAATTTTAAAAATTTTCATATTTTCGAGTGCAAAGTAATCACAAATTTTTTTTTTTTTTTTTTTTTAGTGAATCCATTTACATATTTTTGTTATTCTTATTTTATAATATGTCAAATGATACATTATCTATCTAATAAAATAATGAGAATTAACCTAAAATTAACTTTAATAAAACTAATTAAATATTGGAAATTTATATTCATTTTAATTGGATTACTTTTTAATTTATACTTATATATTTATATTTTAAATAAACAAGATCATATAGTTTATCAAAATAAATTATCTATATTATGTTTTAATGATATTATTTCATCAAAAAGATCATGGTTAACATTTATTGATACTTTGAATAAATTACATATTAATAATTCTAATCATATAGAAACAACTAAAGTATTCACAGAATTATTTCACTTTACATATTATTCTATACCTATAATCAATGAAACAATAAAAGTTTTAAATTTTAAAAATCAATTAAAACTACTATCGAAACCTACGAATATCAATTATAATTTCAATGAAATTTATACTGAAACAATTAATAATAAAAATTTATCATATACTAAAGATAATAAATTTATAGGTGGAAGACATTATCCAAAATATTTCAATATGACTGAATATTTGAATGCTATGTCAAATGGATTTTCACCAAACGAAGTATGTTATCTCCTTAAAATATTATTTAATATAAAGATATGTATATTTGATTATAATCATGTTTATCCATATGCTTTATACATGTTTTTTTTTGGAATAACATTTTCCTGTAAATCATCATTAATGGTAAAACATATTACTTACTTACTTACTTACTTACTTACGCCTGTTACTCCCAATGGAGCATAGGACGCCGACCAGCATTCTCCAACCCACTATGTCCTGGGCTTCCTTTTCTAGTTCTATCCAGTTCTTGTTCATTCTTCTCATGTCTGTTTCTATTTCTCGGCGTAATGTATTCTTTGGTCTTCCTCTTCTCCGTTGATCTTCAGGATTCCATGTGAGGGCTTGTCTTGTGACGCAATTAGGTGATTTCCTCACGGTGTGCTCAATCCACTTCCAACGCTTCTTCCTGATTTCTTCCTCTGCTGGAATCTGGTTTGTTGTCTCCCACAGTAACTTGTTGCTGATAGTGTCTGGTCAACGGATCTGAAGTATCTTGCGTAGACAACTGTTAATAAACACTTGTATCTTCTGGATAATGGCTTTCGTATTTCTCCACGTCTCCGCCCCATACAGTAGAACTGTCTTGACATTTGTATTGAAAATTCTAACCTTGGTGTTGGTTGACAATTGTTTTGAGCCCCAGATGTTTTTCAGTTGTAGGTATGCTGCTCTTGCTTTGCCGATCCGCACCCTCACATCTGCATCTGATCCACCGTGTTCATCAATGATGCTGCCCAGATATGTAAAGGTTTCCACATCCTCCAAAGCTTCTCCGTCAAGTGTAATTTGATTGGTGCATATTGTATTGTATCGGAGAGTCTTGCTTTTCCGTTTGTTTATATTGAGACCTACTGCTGCTGAGGCTGCTGCTACACTGGTCGTCTTCTCCTGCACTTGTTGTTGCGTTTGTGATAGAAGAGCCAGATCATCCGCGAAGTCTAGATCGGCAAGCTGCATCCTACCTGTCCACTGTATCCCGTGATTTCCTCCAGATGTTGACGTCTTCATGATCTAGTAGATGACCAGGAGAAAGAGAAAGGGTGAGAGTAAGCAACCTTGCCTTACGCCAGTCTTTACTTGAAACGACTCGGTGAGTTGTCCTCCGTGGACGATTTGGCAGTTTAGTCCATCATAGGAGTTCCGTATGATATTTACTATCTTCTCAGGCACGCCGTAGTGTCGAAGAAGCTTCCATAGTGTCGTCCTGTCCAGGCTATCAAATGCCTTCTCGTAGTCGATGAAGTTGATGTAGAGTGATGAATTCCATTCGATTGATTGTTCCACAATGATCCGCAGAGTTGCGATTTGATCTGTGCACGATCTATCCTTACGAAATCCAGCTTGTTGATCTCGAAGTTGGGCGTCCACGTAATCCTTCATCCTATTTAACAATACTCGGTTGAAGACTTTTCCTGGTATTGAGAGAAGAGTGATGCCCCTGTAGTTGTCTCACTTGCTCAGATCACCTTTCTTTGGTATCTTGATCAGAAGTCCTTTTTTCCAGTCTGTTGGTACTTGTTCTTCCTCCCAAATCTTACTGAAGAGGATGTGTAGTATCGTGGCAGTCGCTGTTACATTTGCTTTCAGTGCCTCTGCCGGGATGTTGTCTGGTCCCGCTGCTTTGCCACTCTTGACTTGTCTAATGGCCATGCTGATCTCTTCAATTGTTGGTGGGCCAATATCGATTGGGAGGTCTGTGGGTGCTGCTTCGATGTTGGGTGGGTTCAGTGGAGCTGGTCGATTCAAGAGTTCTTTGAAGTGTTCTACCAACCTGTTTCGTTGTTCTTCAATGTCGGTGATTACTTTGCCTTCCTTGCTTTTCACTGGTCTTTCTGGCTTACGGTAATTTCCAGAAAGTTTCTTTGTTGTATCATACAGTTGTCTCATGTTTCCCTCTCTTGCAGCCTTTTCCGCTGTCATTGCTAAATCTTCCACATATTTACGTTTGTCGGTTCTGATGCTCCTCTTCACTTGCTTGTTTGCCTCTGTGTATTCGGCTTGTGTCTTGGCTTTTTCCGCTCTTGTTCGGTTGATATTGATTGCTGCCTTCTTGTTCCTCCTTTCTTCAATTTTATCCAGTGTACCAACAGTGATCCATTCCTTGTGATGGTGCTTCTTTTGGCCTAGAACCTCCTGACATGTTGAAACGATTGCCTCCTTGATACCTTTCTAGTTGCTCTCCATGGTAGTCCCCTCTCTATTGAGTAGATCATGAAAGGCTTCGAACCTGTTGCTGAGGGCTATGTTGAATTTGTTGAGTTTGTCAACATCTCGAAGAAAGGCCGTATTAAACTTTTGTGATGTTGTCCGCACCGTTGTCCACTGGTTCTTGAGTTTTAGTTTCATCTTGGCGACCAGCAAATGATGATCGGATGCTATATCAGCTCCTCTTCTGGTTCTCACATCCTCCATCGTCCTCCTGAACTCTTTGTTGATGCAGATATGGTCGATTTGATTCTGTGTAGTGTGATCCGGTGAAATCCAAGTGGCTTTGTGTATGTTTTTGTGTGGGAATATGATGCCACCTATGACCAGTTTATTGAAGGCACATAGGTTTGCAAATCTCTCACCATTTTCGTTCCTTTCTCCCAGTCCATGTTGTCCCATGACGTCTTCGTATCCAGTGTTGTCCTTTCCAACCTTGGCATTGAAATCTTCCATCAGAATGGTCACGTCCTTGGTTGGGCACTTCTCGGAGATCGACTGCAACCTGTTGTAGAATTGGTCTTTAGCGTCTTCATCGTAGTCGTTGGTCGGCGCATAGCATTGGATGATGTTCATTGTAATGCTCTCTCTCTTTGTTTTGAAGGAGGCTTTGATGATCCTTGGTCCATGAGATTCCCATCCAATAAGTTCATTTTGTGCTTTTCTGGACAGCATCAATGCAACTCCTTGTGTATGTGGGGCATTTTCTTCTTCATGACCGGAGTATAACAGAAGTTCTCCTGAAGACAGTCGTTGTTGTCCAACCTGCTTCCAATGTGTTTCACTGATTCCAAGCACCTCCAGGTTGTATTTTCTCATTTCTGCAGCAATTTGGAAGACTTCCGGTCTCCCACATTGTCCGGACATTCCATGTACCTATAAAAATTGTTGCTCTGGTTGTAAGAAGGTGCATCGTCCTCATGACTTCCGAAGGAACTCGGCTTTCATCATCAGACGTCATAATTATTCCTTCTACTCCCAGGGCAGAGTTTGAATGGTTTGAATGATTTTTTCTGGTTAGCGTTTTTTTAGCGAGTTGATTTTCTACGGGATGGGGTCGCTAACCCCATGCCCAACCCTCCTCCTTTACCTGGGCTTGGGACCGGCAGTAACCCCAGAGGAGCTACAGGCGGAGTTAATGGTAAAACATATATGTAATTTAAATTCACTTAGTATTACTTGTTTGAATTTTCCCATTGATGTGTTAGGACTGCAACTGGTCAGTCTCTGATTGGCATATGTGCATACTGTGCGTATTGCCTCGATATAGCCTAAATCCACAAGCATTATAAACAAAGATGGATAGTGGCTAGAAGTGGAATCCAGGACTCGGGTTTCGTCCTATTTGGGACTCGTCAACCGGATGCACCTGTATCTCAGAGTTGATGTTCACTCTGGACGAGTGGATAACGCAATGGCGTTTGAAGCGAAAAATACTGGCTTGTAGTCCCAGAGTGAACATCAACTCTGAGATGCAGGTACATCCAGCTGACGAGTCCCAGATAGGACGAAACACGCGTCCTGGATTCCACTGCTAGTCACTATCCATCTCTGCCCACCATATAAGTAATTTGTCTAAATCCATGAATTGTAATTCTTAACTCCATAATATACAATGGTTGACTTGATCATTGATCCAGGCAGTCGATACAATTCAAATGATGTTTAATAAATGAATCTTCTCATAGATTTAGTACTTTTCCTTACACTGTAAAACAAAGCCTATTCATTTAAAGTCTAGTCACTATGGTTAGTATTAATTAGCTATGAAGTGATTTTGTCTTCTTTGTATAAATAATTTTTATTTCAATAAATAAGAAATGTTGACAGATCACTAATACACCAATTCATCTACTCCATAGAATGAGTTCATTAATCTTTTAGCTAATAACCAGTACCATCCTTTAATATTACAATTAACAAACCACCATTTGGACAAGATTTATAACTTAAAAGCTTCACTATTATTTGAATCTATCAACAGTTTGATTTTGTGACCTGTCAAAGTCTAAATATTTTGATCAATATTTTCAATGATTACATAAGTATTATCGATCATGTATGACAACTACTAACTCACTAGCTATGATCTAATGAGTACATGTACAACTATGTTAATAACACTCAATAAGAGTATCAAATTTTTATTCAATTTATTACATAAAAGTTGAATAAAGGTTGAAATATCAGTACAGATTTCTAAATAAGGCTCTTGTTATTTTATGCGAATACCAGTTCAAGATTCAGAATGTCGATACTACTTATATCGCATTTAAATTCATTATCATCATAATCAATTCAGTACTCGTTTCTTTTAGACAAATGCCTCTCTCAGTAGTTTATAGCTAATTTCATTTTTTATCACTTATTAGATTCAATATGACTGGTTGAAACCGTAAAATAATAATAGGTAGACGGATAAATAATTTTGTGAAATGTGGGCAAGTGAGTGAGTGTTAAGAATCAATCCCAATAAATAATTAAATTCAGCAATAAAACAACAACCAAGATACTCCCGCTCTGAATCTCAATATGATCTATGCTTCCTATAAGCAGCAACTGTAATTTTTTCACTTGTAATTGGGTTATAGTGCAAATTATATCACAGAATTTATAAAGCATTCTGATGTGTCCTCCCAAAATGACTTTTGATCGGTCAAGAATTAGTAACAGACATATCCAACTTCGCCAAGTATCAGAGACTGTCTGATATTGTAAAGTTCATCCCGGGTTCGAAACCAATTTTGTTCTAACGTTAAAACTTACTGTTTTGTATGTTATGTCCATTAACGATCGTTCTAGTCTATATCTGATTCTCTAAGAAATAATCGAATTATTGAGTAGCTGTATCACGTGATCTAGTATCGTGTTCATGTATGGTGGTCTAAAGCCGATAGATCTTGACAAATTATATTTCTGTTATAAAACATTAAATAGATCACAACGACAATAATTAATAAAAATTAACGAAGTAATTCCGTATTTAAATTAGACAGTTGTGACCTGTCAACTAAGTGTTAGGAATTGAAAAATAAGCTTTGCAACGAAAGACCAGTCATGAAATGTCAAAAGATATTTAGTTAATTTCACTTACATAGAATTTGTCGAAATCAACACGAAACTCTTCCTGGTTTTCAATACTGTTTTCAATAGATATAGACTTAAAACTATCTGAGATAGTTAATTTCGATCTTTAAATTAACAATTTCTACTAAGAAAGCTTACCAAAATAATATATTGCTCATTATATTTGTTTAAACGTTCCTTTAGGTCCCCATAAACAATGAACATCTATTTGTTGTGGAAACTCCAAGAAGTGCTTGTGATCCTTGTCATGAAAAACAGAAACTTAGTTTGGTTGTTATAATCAAATCTTGTATTTATTGCTATGAACAACGGTCATACGCGCGTAAAACATATATGAACATAAGTCTGTGGAATAACTTAACAGTCAGATTTGTATTTGTTGTTGGATTACCAATACCGAATGAGACAAATATTCATCATTTTGATGGTGTGAATATTCAGTTGGACGGGAAATCATGGTGGGAATCAAGAAAACGTGAACTTTCTCGATGGTCGGTAATAAAAGAGTTAAGAAATGAAAGCAAATTTTATGGTGACATGTTGGTTGGTGGTTTTTTTGATACTTACTTCAATTTAACTACGAAAATGATGTTATCTTTTCGTTGGGCGTGTGTCTTCTGTAAGAATATAACGCCATTATTTTTATTTATTGATGATGATTATGTGCTTCACCCGAACAATACAATCAAACTCGTAAGGTCAATTAAAATATCAGATATGAAGTCTTATATCGGTGGTCCAATACATTCAACCTCAGTTGTATCGCGACCACAAAATAAAACTTACAACTCAAAGTGGGATGTTTCCACTCATGAATATCCATATAGTTATTATCCTCCATACTTTTATGGTATTGGTTATATCATTGGAGCTGACGTCGTATGTGATGCTTCTGTTACAATGTCATTTACGCAAAATCTTCGTATTGATGATGCATATCTTGGGATTGTTTTGGCGAGATTGAACAAGAAGCTCAATCAACTTAAAGGGTTCAGAGTACAAACTGATACAAATTTCGAATCATCAGGAGCAATTATCATACAAAGATCAAGTGCTGGTTTATTGTTCACTTAAACTGCTACAATAGATTAGGCTTTCTTTTTGTAAATATTCAGTTATAAATAATCTTGTATTAGTCATCTGAATAAATGTTTACTTTAGACATCCAAATGTTGTATGGTGAACAAGAACTAATTTTAATAGTCAGGTCATCATTTTATCGATTATTGAGAAAATCATAAAAATATTAATAGTCATAAAGATATATAAATTGGTTTATATGACGAGTATTTTTGTATTCATTATTACTTATGTCATTGAGTTACTCTACTAAACAAAGAACTAAGAATCATGAATCAATTATCCTGACTCCTGGTTTAAGTTCATGTGTCAAGAATTCAAATTTCTCCATTAATCGTCAAATATTCACAATCCATTCATACAAATCAGCAAACTATCATCAACACATAGTGTTTATCATAACTGATGAACAAAGATGGTAGCTTAATTAAATTATTATTAATATGAAATGAGTTCTCCAAATTAGAAGTCATATTTTGTTAGATTTAAATCTTACTGGTATACTACAGAAGAAGTCACTTAAACAGTAACAAATGATAGAATATTTAAATAACGAATCCTGCATACGGTATCCGATAATTCTCACAGTAAACCTTCACAAAATGATAGATTACATGTACAAAAAAACACACACAACTGTTGTCATGGTGATGGATCAAACGTTAATCAATTTTTTTGTGTAATAAAAGTAATAATGATGATTTAAACTGATTTGTATATAGATTCTTTTCATTAATTATGATCTATTAATTATCTGAATATACATATATATTGAATATTTATTTTTATCATCATTTAAGTAGTAATTGGTATTTGGATTAATTTTTAAAAATAGTTGTCGAATCTTTGTACCGATTTGTTTTTAATGAAGAGTATTTTAATTTCACATGATTTAAGTAGTCAAACGATGTTCCTCAGCGCACTGCTGAGGAGTCCCACAATAGGACGAAATGGCCGTCCAGTGTTTCCAGGTTTTCCTTGGTGGTCTAGCTTCAACTGACTCATGATTTCAACGATTTAAATTCTTAGTGAAATACATCTTAGTATAACGGTATAATATTTATATTTAGATAAAGCATAGTTTGAGCAAGGATGCTGATAGAATGAGACATGGAATTATTTTTTGAAGTATGAATAATTCGCTCGAGATTTTTATTCACATATTAAATCTTCAGACATCCATCTACTCACTGATTACTTCATTATTTTCATTTGATAAATTTGTATCTTATTTTTAGCTCCAGATCACTTAAAGGAATCCATGGTCCACCCTTTACCAAGGTTGAAATTGTTGTTTACATATTAACCGGTGCCTCTTTTAGTTCGTTAACGTTTATGACTATTTTCAGAGTCCTTGTATATAAATTTGTACAAGTTCACTGTTTGCTGATAACAGTTTTCTTCAGTCTCTATTAAATAAATCTTCATTCCAAGATTTGTATCTTGTGATGGCCATGGTCAAAATGTAAATGGGAAATATATTAACCCGGTATCAAAATTAAAACTACCAGTTGTTTTTGTCAGCTCAAGACTCATCTATCTGAAACTGGTTGACCTGAGTGCCAAGCTTCTAAAAATTCTCTGGTGTTTTTAAAATTCCTTCTATCCAAGATCTCAATATTCTGTGGACACAAATTAGACTGAAATGTGGGCAAATATAGGACCGAAAATCAAATAATGGGAGATTCAATAGAAATATAAGGAAGTAAACAATGACAGGTTAAAGCACAATAATAACAAATGAAGATCGAGGTCTATAAGACAATCTGTGAGCCATATGTGGAGAAATTCGAGCACTTCACTTCTACCTGAAGTTTGTGCTGATGATGTCGTTCAGAATAACTATGAAAGCTCCACCACAAAGCTATCTAACCCAGAGAACAAAATTAATCAAAAACGCAACTCTATTCCTTGGGAAATCAATCCATTTCTTAGCTAATGAAATGCACTCCTCCTTCAGGTCATTTCTGATTGCAATCGACTGACCTTTTCATTAGTCTACTTCTGATTGTCTTACCATATCAGATTGTAGAGTGCTCAACTTTTTCCCTTTATGGCCTTGTCATGAATTAATAGAATGACAGCCCATCGGTTCAGAGCTTAAGAGTTCATGCTCGAAAATAAATGTCCTGGGTTCCATCCCTGTATGTATCGTTATGAATGCGCGCTGTTAGCGGGTCTGAAATTAACCTCCATAGCTTCACAAATGAAGGGCTAAAATATTTGTGTATACCACAGTGAAACATAATCGTAAGTGAATATCATGTTGATCAAAACAATTTTTAATCTACAGTGGATGCATGATTAAAGTGTTTTCTTTAAAATAGGGTAAGGTTTTAAACAATTCATTTCGACTAATTAAAACATAAATGTCAGCAGATAATGTCATAGCCCCTTTCATTTCTGTATAGAACTGAACAGTTCCCAACTCACATTTTAAACCTTGTTAGTTTTAACATATATCGTTAGATTTAGTGTTAGCGATCTATCAAATACAATCTTCATAAATAAAAGCTGCAAATTAACGTCTATATTGGGGTACAAACTAATCAACCATTGAGTTCACGAACAAGAGTATAGCATTATCAGTGAATATTATTCTCACATATTACATTTATGGTATATTCAAGCTGAGAAAAGCTATGGGACAGGTAGGAATAGTGGGAATGAATGCACATGAATTTTTATTACCAATACACAGACTCAATAAGATCGATAGAAGTAAAAACTAACTAAAACTAGGAGATATATTTTTAGGATTATTTTCATAACGAATAATATTGTTTGGTGTCACTCAAATCTGCTAATATTTTTTATTATTCCTTAACTATTCAATGATAATCAGAATTCGTTTATTAACTTGAACAATGAAAGTTCTAACACTCATTTGACACATGAAAGTAAAAGTATTGAAAGCTATTGACTTGTCAAATATCTTTATCTTAATAACACTATAATGATTATCTATTGATGAAGATGAATAATAACATTAATATTTTTAAGCAAAGATGGATAGTGGCTAGCAGTGGAATCCAGGACACGCATTTCGTCCTATTCGGGACTCGTCAGCTGGATGTATGTGCATCTCAGAGTTGATGTTCACGAATCCCAAATAGGACGAAACGTACGTCTTGGATTCCACTTCTAGCCACTATCCATCTTTGTTTATAATGCCTGTGAAGTTAGGCTATATCGAGGCGATACGCATAGTATGCACATATGCCAATCTGAGACTGACCAGTCGCAGACCTAAACATCAATGGGAAGATTCAAACAAGTAATACTAAGTGAATTTAGACATTAATATTTTGTTCATGATTGCTTCTAACCTTGATGTAATGACTCATTTAACAAAAAGGTATCAAAGATATACCTGTTATATCTATTTCTATACTATGTTAAAATGGGTATACGAAGATAGAAAGATATTCATTCCAGAAAAAACACTCACAATGGTATAAATGTTGTATACTTTCTGTTCTACTGTATTGGCTTTGCTTCGTTAATCGTTCATCTCGATATATAAACCTCAACGGTGTTTGAAATCAGTAGGCAAAGAGAAGCGGTAACTACAGTTTATTATCGGATAGCACAGGCCATAAAACTGGAGGCACATCGAGAGAATTTGAAGCGGAGAGGCGAATATGTGTATGGTAGCAAATTAATAGTCAAATTGTATAAGGGCGCAGAAAGACAAAACAAAAGTTTATAATGGGATTTAAGTGCATACATATATGGGAGGGGGAGGATGAATCATCGAATGATATTTAAGCAATCAACATTTTAGCTAGAGTCTGTCATAAGCTCTAGTGATCACAACAGTACAAGGAAATATGCAACTTGTTACCACTCAAATGAAGTTGTCTGTCAAGTTAATAAAAGGGCCATAATTGAAATTGGTTGTAGGCTAGTTGCTATACTACATCAGCTTATGTGCGAATATATTTGAATGATTAATAAGTGATACAGTGCATATTCATTCGTAGAAGAAGTTTGTATTAAGATATTCGAAACAATTTTATTGATTTAAAAAAAGTTATAGATCTGCTATAGCATTGAGGATTTAATTTTTTGATCCATTTCATTTTATTTTACCCGAGTTAGTCACTGTTAAATGGAATTGGAAATTCATGTACGTCTATAGTATGAATTTCAAGTAAATTACAACTTTAACTCTCTGTAAATAGTTTGAGCATCTTTCCAATTATGACTTCGCAGTGTTCACAGACTTAGACGAAGTGTTACATACTTAATTACTTAAGCCTCTTATCTCACTTGGAGGAGCATAGGCCACTCACCATCACTCTCCCTCCAACCCTGTCCTCGACAATCCTTTCCAGTTCTTTACAGTCGTTGTTCATCCTTTTCACATCAGCTTCTAGTGTGTTCTTCGGCCTTACTTTTTCCGTTTCTCTTCCACATTCTATGTATTTCCTTTTATGTCATTGACTGGCCTCCGGTTTGCTATATCTCCCTGTCAGTTTCTTCGTTGTGTGATGTAGATGTTTCATATTCCCTTCTCTTGCAGCTTATTCCGCCGATAGATATCTGTTCCTTATGATGAGGCTTTCTGTATCCAAGAACCTCCTGACACGTTAAAGTTGATGCTTCTCTGATCCCTTTCCAGTTCTCCTCCACCGCAGTTTCTTGTTCTTTCAGTAGATCCTGTAAGGCTTGTAACCTGTTGTTGAGCGCTATCCTGAATTGGTTGAGTTTGTCAACATCTCGTAGGAAGTTTTCTATTGAACATTTGTAATGCTGTTTGTCCAGATGTTAAGTGTTTCTTTAGCTTCAGTTTCATCTTGGTTACGACCAGGTGATGATCTGAAGCTATGTCAGTTCCTCTCCTGATTTTCACGTCTTCTATTGAACTTCTGAATCTCTCAGTGATGCAAATATGATCTATCTGGTTCTCTGTGGTGTGGTCCGTTGAGACCGATGTAGCTTTGTGTATGCGTTCATGTGGAAATATTTTGCCACCTATAACCAGTTTGTTGAATGCACATATATTTCCAAATCTCGTCATTCTCATTCCTTTCTCCTACTCAGTCCATGTCGTTCCACGATAACTTCATACCTAGTGTTGTCTATTCCGATTTTGTCGTTTAGATCTACCATCAGGATGGTGGAAAGGTCATTTCCTGGTCACTTCTCCACAGTCCATTGCAGCCTCTGATTGAACTGATCTTTATTATCTTCGTCGCTATCATTGGATAATACTCATTGTGATTCTCTCCTCCTTAGT